CTTTAAAAAAGGCTGAACTCATCTGGTCAGCGCGCACATGCGCGCTGGCCAGCTTACAGGGCTACGCTTCACGTGCCCTGATAAATGGCTCCATGTGCCACCTGTGGCACACATGCCATAGGTTCGCCTTCCCGGATCTATACAAATAATGTGTTAGCAGTTAAGACACACATAAGGAATTGAGGTACAAAAGGAGTATGTCTAGTGAGATAATCTGAAATTAACTTGAGGTGGAGGGATTGATTGATGATAGGAAAAAGCATGATGTTCAGTTGACTTATGTATTCACCCAGAAAGGGCATTGGTACTTACCTGATACGCCTCTTCTCATAGAGTGGAGGTATCATCCAGACTGGGTTGACAACATCCGCTCACTGATAGGACTGAGTCTGATGACAAGTGTTAAGCCATGCTCCTGTTGCTAGGCAGATCCAGCTTTCGGCAAAGGTATTCTGTCAGACTCGATGTGTTACCCTTCAACGAATTTTGCATCATCATCCAACACCATACTCTTGATGAAGGTCCAATAAAATGTCTAAAGTCATAGTTAGTCAAGTAAATTGTCAATTCTGAGGACCAGTGTATCTTGGGGGGGGGGGGGCTGGATGATACCTCCACCCTATGAGAAGAGCCGTATCAGGTAAGTACCAACACCCTTTCTCCATAGTGGTGGAGGTATCGTCCATACTGGAACGTACCCAAGCTGGAATTGTCCCTCCCCTGGGGGGGGGGGTTATAACTGGTCCAAAGACGACCCCGCTCTATGTACAGACTGCAATACCCTGTGACCAAAGGCAGTGTCTGCCGATGCAAAGGAGACTGTCTTATAATTTCTTATAAAAGGAGACGGGGAAGTCCAAGTAGCCACTCTGCAGATCTCAGCCAAAGATGCCTGCGTGGCCCAAGCTGCAGTAGTTACCTCACTGCTGGTAGAGTGAGCGGTTATTTTTCCAGAAAGTGCTGTAGATTAAGCTTGGTATGCTGTGGCAATGCAGACCCTCAACCACCTACCATTTGTGGGGGCAGTAACCTTGTGCCCCATAGAAGCCGGCTGGAACAACATCAATAGTTCTTCAGATTTTCTGAACAAAAAAGTTCTTTTCAAATAGATCCACCGTTGCCACCCTTCCTGTGGGACCTCCTTGTCCCTACTCTGGAGGAAATAGAATTGGAGGTTTCCTGATTAGCCTCTGTGTCCCTTGCCACTCTCTGCGGGCTGCCCTCCTGTTCAAATAAGGTTTCAGTGAGATCTTCAGACCTTAGAGCTCTTGTGGCCGCCATTTTGAATTTCAGAAAAGGCTGGATAACAAAATGGCGCTTCCCACCTTTTTTAACAGCTCCTGCGGCTCCGCAATGAGCTGAGGCAAAGAGGCTAGCCACAGATCACTTGTCCGATCGCTTAAAAGGGGATCTGAAACCCCGACAAGCCCAGCAAGTCTCAAGCCTTTTCAAGCCTCAGCAGGATTTTTAAAAAGTGCTGTTAATGCCTTCAGTAAAGTGCGGAGCTCTACCAGGCAGTCAGAAAGTTTTTAGCTTCTCCTCCTGCAGCTTCACAGGCGTACGCCACC